TTGGAGGGGAGTTTATTCCACAAAGGGGGGGGGGGGGACTGCTGAGAAGGCTTGATTTCTTGTTTTTTCTTTCCGGGCCTCCCTCGGCGTTAGGCTCCTCAACTGCCCCTCCTTGCTAAAACGAATAATACGAGTAAGGCATTCCGCCAAGTATCGAGGTCCTAAACCATTTAGGGCTTCATAAGTCATCCTTAACACTTTGAAATCAATGCAGAAACGAACAGGCAGCCAATGGAAGACAGCCAGAGTGGGAGAAATATGCTGGTGTTTTCTCACTCCACTAAGAAGTCTGGCCACCGCATTCTGCACCATTTGAAGCTTCCGCATCAATCTCAAAGTTAGCCCCACGTAGAGCGCATTACAGTGGTCTCAGTTCGAGATTACAAACACATGGACCAGAGTGGTGAGCGCCACAACATCAAGATAGGGACGCAGCTGGGCAATCCTCCACAGATGGAAATAGGCGGAGTGGACCACAGACGCCACCTGGGTTTCCATGGTGAGCGCCGGGTCCAGGTGAATCCCCAAGTCGCGAACCTCACTCTTTGTGGTGAGAGTCACCCCCTCAAAAGAGAGGGAGTTTCCCAAACTGCCGATGATGGATCCACCACCCTCAGGACCTCTGTCTTGTCCAGGTTCAGCCTCTGCCCACTTTCCTGCATCCATTGCAGTACAGCCTCCAGACAGCGCTGAAGGGACAGAATGGCATCCACTGTTGTTGGACGAGAGGAGATGCAGAGCTGAGTGTCATCAGCATACTGATGATATGATGCCCCACACCCCCTGATGACCCTGCCCAGTGGCCTCATATAGATATTAATAGATATTAAACGGCATTGGGGAGATAATCGAGCCCTGTGGAACCCCACAGTTGAGACTCCACGGGGCTGAAACTCTCTCCCCAAGCTGTACTCTCTGAGGACGGTCCTCCAAGAAGGATTGGACCCAGGCAAGCGCCAGGCCACCAATTTCCAGCTTGGAGAGCCTTCTCAGGAGGATACTGTGGTTGATGGTATCAAAGGCCATATGTAAATTAGCAATAGAATTATTGCCATGGATTTTTGATTTTTTTATGGCTTAGATGAATGGTAGGTTGTTGCCTTTACTTTTTTAAATGATAAGCTACCTTGGTTCACGATCTAGAAAGGTACCTCAGAAATATGGTGAAGTAGATAAATGTTATATGTTTCAGATACCACTCAACATGTTAGAAATCCAAACATATTAAATTTTGAGCCAAAACGTTTTGCATAATTAAACAAAAATTAAACTATGTTTACGGAGCCTGATCAGTATGGATGTATCATGAATACTGATGAGAATACTAATGTGTGTTCCCTCCAAACCTAGCATTTTCATCATTTCTTAACTCATTTTGAGAACAGAATTTTGGAACTATAGTGTCCTGAAGTTAGTTGTCCCCATCACTGATGTATCACTGTGATTTGCTTCTTATTCTACCTTATTTCCTAAGAACAGGAGCACCTTTTCTTTATTCTTCTTTATAATTATTTCCCCTTTAATTGTTTTTCTAAGGAGATTTATCAGAGTTTTTCTTTCTCAATCCATATTACACTTCAGTGTCTTACTCCCTCAAGAGAAGTAAGTCTTACTCCCCCAAGAAGAAAATTATACCAAAATTATTTTCTGCAGCTTAAAATTGCACTTCTACATTGACATTCCAGATTGCCTTCTTCTATTGTACAATTTCTCTGACAACACTACATACAAATGTGCACTCTGCTTTTATTTTCCAGGTTTCTCATCCTATCACAAATACTGAGCTAAATACCCAACTGAAATCAGGTTATATAGACTTCACACTTCAAGAACAGGTACAACTTTCAATTTTAGAATTGACCTGTAAATTCTTTCAGTTTTTTTGCCTCAGCTATCGATAGGCACAGAGTGTGTTTGTATGAAGCCAAAATCCTTACCTCAATGGAAGAAATAATAGCAAACATGGGAAATTTAAACAGACTAATCGGCCAGTCTTAACTACGTGCTTATTGAGAAGGAAATTCCATTTATTTCAGTAAGATTTACTTCCATATGAGAGTATGCATAGGATTACAGTGCCATGTTTCTTAAACCACAAAGCCCAAGAGAATAATTTGAGAGATGATATATCTGCTAGCCCACAGATTGCTTACTAACAGAAAGGTTACTCTCCCAGACTCCTTTGCTGCCTGCTAGCCCTGTGGGCAGCCAAGAACACATGTAAGTGATGAAAATAGGGCTGCATAAAAATAATAGCTTTGTTTTACACATCCTTCTGAATGCAGCACCTTCTCTGTTTTCATGCTCCATCAAGTGGATTCTTCAGTGATTCTATGAATTGGTGACCTCTGAAAACACCTGTCTTTAGTAAAAGGGATGCTGACAGAAAGTAAAGGAAGGCTCTTTGATGAGCTAGATTCCTGAAGAGCATCAAAGTGGAGCAAAATGTCTGGAGCTGTGAATCATTTCAAATATTCTTGTCTAAGCAGGACACTATGGACAAGACACCATGTATTGGGAGATGCATGGTCAGGGGTAGAGAACCATCTCCATTGGGTTTTGTAAAAGAGGACAGTAGGGTCTGAGTCATGGTAGGGGTGCCATCCCACAAAGAGGGTTTACAGTATAACACTCCAAACATTGCTGACTATCCAGCGTAAGGATAAAGGAAAAAAGGAAACTACAGCCTTTAATTTGCAAGACCTGGACAGGGGTGTTACAGAGTTTATAGAGAGTCTCCATTAAGTCAGTAGTGACTTAATGGCACATAAAAAGACAGAAAGTGTTGCATTCCAAAGGATGTGCAAGACAACATTTTCATGTAGCTTTATTTTTAAATTTTAAATTTAAATCCTGCCTTTCTGCCAAAACAGAGCCACTTAAGATAGTTAACAGTAATGAAATTCAGCTATATACAATGAAAACAGAGAAGCAGATTAAATGCAAACAACAACAACAACAACCCCATAAATAACATCACCCTGCAAGCCTGTGCACATTCTGTGCCATCATTTTATGGGATTATGTCTAGTGTGATATAAGCAATCTTTCATTTCTGGAACAGAACGTGCTGTTCCTCTCTTCCAGTCACCTAGTACATCCTTCATGTTTGCCTCAGAGAGCCACACCACCCTCCCAAGAGGCTGCAGGGATTTGGGGTGGACACAGGTGAGTTCAGCCCTTTGAACATAAGCTAGAAGAAACATCCCTTGCTCCCTAAAACACACACATATAACAGTAGTTCTCATCCAGTGGTACATACGAATGGAATACAAAGGCAACCTAGGTGGGTCACAAGTTTTCATAAGAATTGCTAAGAATCCACTCCCTCACAATCCTCATGCTCTCCTGCAAGTGTGGTATGCTACCTCTAGCTAACATGCCATAAGTTATACATCAGACCTTTTGGCATAGTAGTTACTGTCCCCCATTCCCTAGTTCCTCCTGTGCACTAACTTATCATAACTAACAAATTTAGTACCAGAATGCCTGAAACCCTATAAATGGACTTCTTGGGGAAAAATAGGGTTTTATTTTCATCATTTTAGAATTCAGTCTCTTTAAAAGTAGGGTGTGATATATAAATGTTGAAAATCATCATGTAATGATCTAATGCCATGGTTCCCAAACTTGAGTCTCCAGATGATCTTGGATGAAAACTCCCAGAAGCCTTTACTACTAGTTGTGCTGGCCAGGATTTTTGGGAATTGTAGTCCAAAAATATATAGGGACCCAAGATTGGGAACTACTGATATAAAGGGACCAGGTAAGAGGGAGGTGACTGGTCTGAAGACAGTTTTCTAATGCTTGTAACAATGAGTCGGGTAAACATTTGGTTTGGCATCTGGTTGGTTTATATATTTTGGTCATAAGACTGTGTGCTGCATACTACCAATTTTGTGTGTGTGTGTGTGTGTGTGTGTGTGTGTGTGTGCTGTTGCTCTTTAAAAGAAAAGTTTTCCCTCTGCACCTGCCATTGTGCACAATAATACTGTGTCAAACTATTCATCCTTTGTGTAAGCGCCTGAGAACTCTAATTATTCATCCTTTCTTTGATTATTTAAAGAACTGTATAGAGTCTCGGGATTTGGACTGTCAGAGAATAACATTTCATTCTCTTATTTTGTACTTTTAATCATAAAAATCTGCTTTAGAGTGGTCAAAATACTATAGAAATGAACAGGAACTTGCAATTTGTTTTTTTTTTTTCTGTTGCTCAAGTAGGACAACTGAAGCTTTTATAAGCATATGGATTGCATTATCTAAGGGATTACTTTGCCAAGAAAAGTGCAGATAAATACAGGTAACAGAGAATAAAGGAGTGATGGAAATTATACAAAGAGAAGTAAAATCTTGGCACACACTATATCTGTTGGGTGTTTTTTCAGCTGTTACTGGTTTTCTAAGATACATGCAGAGGAGATTCTTTGTCATTGTTTGTGGTAACACAGAATTACCACGCTAGATTTATATGCAAGAAGCCTCTGAACAGCACTGTCATGCTGATGGTCTTTGTGTGATAGGGAGGTATTGGGATGCAGTTCTGTATACTGTACCATGTAATCTTGCCTGATCCCCAAAGCAACTGTTGCAGAAATTCTTTTTGGTCAAAGGACTGTGTGCTACATACTACCAATTGTTTCCCATTTATGATGACTCTGTGCAGTATCAAATAAAAACATCTTCTCTCTTGTTAGATTTTCATGCCCAGTGTCATTTTGCTTATAGCTTCTCAATATGAAGTCACTACTTCTCAGCCCCAGTAGGCTATTTTAACAGGCATAAGAACCCTTTCAGTCCTGTTGTTGATTCTGTCTCCACATTTTCTTGGGCAAAACTCTTATGGGGCCTGAAAAATGCCAGCCATATGTGAAAATAAGCCCTCATTCACTTGGATAATCTACTCAACCGAGAGTACTGTTCTGTTACTTTACCCATATGAATAATGCTTGAAGTTGGCAAAGTAGATTTCATTGCACATGTGATACTGTGCAACTTAAGGTTTTCATAAAATAAGACAAAGGATGCAACTAGATGGCCAAACTGGAGTGGGCTGGATTAGGCTAAACAAGGTCACTTAAGGTCACATGGTGGTACATTATGCTATCTTGTGCAATCCTTGCATCTACTGTATATGCAAAGATCAGGTAGTTTCAGGTCAGGAAACATTGCACATGAAGCAACTCTATTTGGCTTTCCTCCCTTTAAAGGGAAGGGAGGGGGAGAGAGAAATAAGAAGTAACAAGGAAAAAAAGATCCCCCTCCTTGTCTCTTCTTGGGAGGAACCTTTCAATTAAAAAAATCTACAATGTATAGTGCATCAGTTCTGCCCTACATGGCTATAAAAAAACACCCAACTTTTTTTTTCTGTTTTTCCCCTTCCATAGAGGAAGCTTTCAATTTCCTAATATTGTTAAGTGATGTAAGCAGACAGCTTAAGCCATCTATTTTTGGTTCGATCCCAGCGATTACACATGCTTGAACCAAACCAGAAAGAAACAGTGCTAACCCCCCCCCGATCCCCCACAAAAAAGTAGCTCCTGATAGGAAGCCAAAAAGGTGCAGGTAGGCATGCATCAGGGACAAGCTGTTCTATAATGGCATGTATGTTGTATGGTTGCTGGGAAAAGGAACACAGCAGCCCATCTCCAGAGCAGACCAAACATGGTAAAAATCTGCTAATCACACCCAAAGTCAACACAGAAAGCCAAGAAGTTGTGGGTTATCCACCACATAATTCCCCACCTCCTCAGTTTGCTTTGGAAATCTCCAATAGTAATGCAAAGCTGCAAATGGCTACATATTGATAATTATGTATTGACTAATTATAAACAAATATTGTTTGTTTCTTTTTTAAATGTTGCCTTTCTCCCCACAGAGGACTCGAGGTGACTCACAATCAGTTTAAAATGAATGATGAATATCATACGATAAAAATAATGCCTAAAAAGTGAAAATATAGCCATATTAAATACATTTTTAAAACATTTTTAAAACTCTAAATTTGGTGAATACAGTATTTTTTTTTTAAAATAAACCACTTATTTCATAAAAGCCTGCCTGAAAAGGAACGTCTTTGCCTGGCAACTACATAATTGTTCAGTTTAAAATGAATGATGAATATCATACGATAAAAATAATGCCTAAAAAGTGAAAATATAGCCATATTAAATACATTTTTAAAACATTTTTAAAACTCTAAATTTGGTGAATACAGTATTTTTTTTTTAAAATAAACCACTTATTTCATAAAAGCCTGCCTGAAAAGGAAAGTCTTTGCCTGGCAACTACATAATTGTTATGCATGTAATTTTCCATTACTGGAGCGCAGTTCAGGTGGACAGTTACGCTAGAATTCTATTTGTTCTATTAAAAAAAGACACAGTAGCATACCAAAAATAGACTCAAACCAGCAGCGTCCATCTGCTTTACTGCTAAACTTTCACCAGAAATTATGGAAAAATATTTTAGTTGGGCGATGTAATACTTTAAAAAATGTTAATATAGGCATAGAAGAGTACACATAAGACACTTCATCTTACTTTAATCTAGTTTTGTGAGTAAGCACTCTTGCTGCTTATATATGTTCCTGCTTTTTCTCTCTAAGCCTTATCATTCACTCTCAGGCAGCTATTTAAAAAAATTAAAAAGCTTATCAACATTTGAAGATTGCAGAATGCTGCAAAAGCAATCAGCACAGCAAGATCTTGGCAGCTTGTTGTGTTTCCTTCCCTATAGATTTTCTTGCTCTGCTCTCACCTTCAGCTTCTATTGCAAGCTGTAAGAAGAAGTGGATACTAGGCCAACAAGCTGAGCACAAAAGGTTTAGCATCTT